TATATATATATATATATATATTTGATTGCCTTGAAGAAATTGGGTTTTACCAAATCATAGTGATGGAGCCATCGGAGAGTAACAGTAGATTGAGAACAAGATCGGGGAATTTGAAACCGTCAAGAAGATTATCTTGTTGTAGGACTCTACTGGTAGAAGAAACGTAGGGAGAAGATGACCTTTGAATTGAAAGAAAGAGAGAAATTTTAGTTCATTGGCTTTAGGATTTTGTATTTATTACGAGTAAGTAGGAAGGGTAAATTTGAAAAAAAAAAAAGTAATATTGTATAGAAATCTTAAAACGATAGATATTTAGAAACAAATTTTAATCTCAAAAACTATTATTAATTTGGAACAGAGGGAGTAACAGTCAAGTGATGTTAAATTCTTAAAAAACTCAAACTTGTATTCAATGCTGCAATAAACAAGTTGAGTTGTGTTCAAATTTTTAACAAAATCAAATAGAGTAATGATAGGCGGGACGATTTTGGGGATGAAATCGGAGGACGACAAGTGAAGCAGTTCCAATAGCAATTACCAATTTGACCCTGCTTCATTTGTCGTCTTCCGATTTCGTCCTCCAAAATCGTCATACCTATCATTACTCAATCAAATATATTGACCTTAAACTTAAAATTAAAAAAATTATTTGATTAACCACACAAATTTAATTTAAAATAAAAATAAAATAAAAAATTGAAATATTTAATATATAATTATATTTTAATATAGTTGGGTTGAGTCAAGTAAATTCGAGTTTTGGGTCTGATTTAACTTGGTTTAATTTTTCAAATTTAGATTTAATCTTGAATTTGAATTTTATTTTTATTTAAGTTTGAGTCAAGTTGAATCCAATTTAAGTTTGGATTAAGTTGAATTTAGCTTGAATTTGAGTAGAATAACTCAACTCAACCCATTTACAACCCCATTCAATTCTTTACTACTTAAATTTTGAATATATTACTTCAAAAAAATTATTACTAAATTGTTTAAATCATTATTAGATAATATTTTCTTTAATTGGGGAAAATAAGATAATCTACACATTCACTAAGTGATTTTTTTATTAGTCTTTTAACTTATTAGGAGTAATTATTAAATTTTCATCAACTTAGTTTAAAAAGATTATTTTCTTTCCGGAAAGCCATATCAAAATTGTTTATTTGTAAAAGTTTCATTAGTTTTTTCTAAATGAATTCCCCTCTAGCCACTACTAGTATTTGACATGAAGCAGATGGTGCTGCATATTGCCGCCATCATAAATGTTAAAGGAAACTAATATTTTAATTTTTTTAAATAATGTCTAAAATTATTAATTTATTAATTGATTTTAATTTATTAATAAATAAATATCAACTGTTTTATCAGTTATTAATTAATAGTTATATTTATTAACTATTTATATTAATTAAATTAAGTAGAATCAATATTTTTCAAGACAATAATTTACAATTTTGGTGACCTTAATATATTTGTTGGTGGTCATAACCATTCCCATTAGACACCTATTGACACAATAAAATATATTTTAACCCATAACCAACTCAACAATGTTATTAATACAATTTTTATATAGAGAGATTAAAATTCAGTAGCTGACTATTATCGTGGGTAGTAGATAGTTGGGGGTAAGAACTAAGAAGTAAATAATGGATAGTGGGTTATGGTGGTATATAGCAAATAGTAAATTAAAAATAGTAAATATTGATTTTAATAATTGTTTGGTTGTATAATTCTTCATTCATTTTAAAATAATAAACCTTTTTTATTTAGAATTTGTCTAAAAATAATAGTTTTTTTTTATATTTTAAAGGAGATAAATATTTTTTTTTCTTACTTAACTTTATGATTATCTTTTAATTTTAATTATCTATTTTATCATAAAAAAAAACTCTTTATTTTTATTTTTTTAAGCGTAAAATAAGAAATTGTTTCCAAGTTCTTAATCCCAAAATAAAAGTAAAAAATATCTATTATTTTGAGACGGAAAGAGTAGTTAGTAATTGTTGCTTAGCATCAAATGACAAACAAAAAAAATTCAAAATGTAATTAATTGATTTTTTTAACACTAAAAAAATTATTATTACTTTTGTTCTTATTGTTATTATTATCATTAAGTAATTACAAATGAAAAATTACTTCTTTTTTTTAATTTTCTTAGAGAAATTTAATTTCTTATTTTTAAATATAAGACAAAAATTACAAATTCTAATTAATTTGTCATTATGATTTAGTAATTTTTTAAGTAAAGAAATTAATTATAATACATTAAGTAACAAAAGAAAAAGAATTAGTTAATGTTAAAATTAGACATAAAAAGAGTTAATGTAAAAATGGAAAGGGAGAACTCTCCTGAACCAGACCAGAACTTTCCTTGGTTTAATAATTCGCGGCCTTTTACCTCTATTTTATCGTTCGAATTTTTTTCCCTTAATTTTGAGTAATTTTTTTATATAATATAATATATGAATGATCAATAATTTTTATATGGTTAATTTTGAATATATAATTTTACCTCTTCTGATATATAATTTTATTTAATAAAAAAATTTTAATTATCATTTTTATTTTAAATAAAAATATTACATAAAAATTAGGGTGATATAATATCAAATCACACTTATTGTAAACAAATGGAGACTTGTGATTATTCAATGTAAAAATGAAAGATAGATACAAGTTCCTTTTGTAAAATTGAAATGGGGCCTCTCTTCTGCTTGGAATCTTTTGGCTCTGCTTCTGCTCCCACACACCTCCTCAAATTTTACCTTTTTGCATTTATTATAGAAAGAGGGAAAGCCCTTTTTGTTTCTCTTCACATTATCACATTATTATTTCCAACTACTACATCTTTGTCATCTATTTATACAATTGTATAACGTGTATATAAAAAATGAAGTCAATATCAATGCCTTGTGTCTTTTATTTAGTCTTGCATTTTTGTCTTGTAGTCTAAATCCATGTAAGTTCTAAGGTAGGTTGGGGAGTGTTTTGCATTTAACCCACTAGGTAGTTGATGAAGTCAAGAAGAGCTCACATTATTGTTAATTTAATCGATGGAGAAATGAGCAATCATGGGAAACAGAGAGGACCTCTCCCTAAATTTTGATCTTTCTTTTCTTATGGTGGAATGTTGGCTTCTTATGATTTGTTAAGAAAGATAGTTTCCTATATAATATAGTTTATTATTAAATAATATAAAAAATTGTCTATAACTTTCTTTTTTTAAAAAAACCCAAGATATTCGATCTAAATAATATTTGCTCCAAATAGTTGTCGGCAATGGTTTTGCTGCAGGTAATCCGATTGTCCATTTGGGCCGCATGTGAGCGTGGGCCATTCTTTGCTGTGCATCGGATATTTTAGACATGGATAATGGTTAGTATATTTTTTTTATTTAATATTATTTATAATACACTTAAACAAAATTATTATTTTTATATTTAAATTTAATGTGAGAAAATTTTTAAGTGCAGATTTTAATAACTGAATTGGTAATAATTGATGGGTCAAATAGTGTAGCAATCATTTTTCTTTATACAAACACAATTACTTTAGCTTATCAGCTCCTTAATTTGTGAACCTAAGATCTGTCTAAGTTTCAACGTTAAACAAGTTCCGGTCCAATTTAAACAGTGTTCTTTTCAGACATAAAGAAGACGCTGATGCCAAAACAAGTACAATACAAAGAAAAGTTTGCTAAGGAAGGAGACTCAAGACTGGAATTGGTTAAATATTGCACCTTAACTGATTTTGTCTGTTTTATGGATCTTGTTTTTGGTAATGCTTTGTTTTGTTGTAAGTATTTTGCGGTCATCTTTACCTCTTGACGTTACTGATTATATTCTCTTAATAGTATTAGTAACCTTTTCTGAGTATATAAAAAAAAAAAAGTTTTCACAGTTTTTAATGGTAAGTTAAACTTCAAGGTATCATGTTGCTGACACAGAGAAACGAGCCAATGGGATCGTGGGTCAAATAAGTTAAGTTAAACAAGTTTGTGAGTTAAGAAAAATAATCAATAATTCATTTATTTTACAAATTAATAGGTTGTAAACCCATCTACTTAAGTCACTTGTCAAATGAGGAAGGTGAAAATGGGTCACAAGTCAAGAAGCTTCTTCTTCTTTTTTTAACAACAAAGGAAAGTATATATGTTAAGGGAATACAAAGGGCATTCCAACCTATATACAGCCAACATTATGTAGAAGAACTCTCCTCAAACAGTAGTCCTAACAAAAACAAGAAAAATGAGCACTAAGTTCCCAACTCCTTACTCATATCAGAACCTTGAAGCCCGGCACAATTCAAGAAGCCTTATCTATAATCTGCTTTAAGTAAGCATGATGAGGTCAGGTTGGCATATTGGGTGAACTTTCGCCATGTTAAATATATATATTGAGTATGAGGTTAATGAACAAAAAAGGAAGTAAAGGGGCATTAATCAGAAAAACACTTTCTACAAGGATGATAATGAACACTTTCTTAAAGTACAAGACATGCATTAGCTATAATCCTTTTCTTTTATTTTAGAATCTCGAAATTCATATCCTGTGTTGACTTTATTTGACAAGTGTGTTGCTCAATTGCTGGAAGTATCCATGTTTTTGCATGTGGTTTGGATGGGCATGGTTTGGGATGCTAAAATGCATGCTAAATGCAGGGAGTGTGCTTGATTCTGTAACTTGTATCCTTTAGGAGAGGGGGTCTATTCAACCGCTAGAATGTCTAAAATTCTACTAAAGAAAATTAGTTTGAAGCTGATTCTTGAATGAGATCAAAGTAGACAGAGGAGGGGCTGAATGCACATAAAAGATGAAAAGGAAGTAAATGGTAACGTGATGTACACTTCAATTTTAAGGCTTATATAAGGCAAAATTTATTGTCTTGCCTCTGGCCTTGTTGCAAGATAAAGGTCTCAGTAAAACAAACAAGGAGTCAGGAATAATTATAAGAAGGGAAGTACAAATGGTGTCTCTTCAATGTATGGATTATTGGCCCAGGGATACAGAGGAGGTGGCAGCAATGAATATGGGAAAGGTGCTGGCAGTAATTGTATGGCCTGGTTTGTCTCTAACTAAAGGAGTACAAATAAATCTAGTTTATTTCCTAATTTTGAGAGCTTATTGATTTATTAAATTGTTTCTGGGAGTGTTGACTTTGTAAATTGGAATTTTGGGTTTCACAATAGAGAGGTTATGGAGGATCTTATCTCCTTTTACTTTTAGACATGCGCACCAGACGTTGGATTAATCGCCTGAGTGAGGTTGGGATGGTTTTTGTGATCGTAAAATTGTGGAGTGGGGTGCGGAATCTTTTGAAAGGGATCATATGATATGGTGGAAACATGTTTTTTCGATGTGATGGGGATCCTTGTAGTTGTAAATGAGGATGTAAATGGTTGAAGGACTCTTTGTACTTAATGAAATTTGTTTTTGTTGCACCTCAATACTAATCTTTGGCTGGTTCGATTAAATACAGGTTATTTATATTGGAATTAAAAAATTTATGAAAATTATCTTTTTAATAACTTTTTAAGAAATCAAACTTTTATTATGAAGATGAAAAATAAATATTTTTATCAATTAAATTACAACTCATTAAATGATTAATTATATAATAACATATTATAATTATAACTTATAATAACACATTACAACTCATTAAATGATTAATTATATAATCATATATTATAATTATAACTTATAATAACACGTACATGTGATATTTCGATAGTATTCAATACAATATGCAACGTGTTTTCTCTTAACTGTTTAAAGTTTATAATTTCCAAAAAATGTAAACCCATGATCAAATAACAAAAACAAAGAAACAAATAAGAACAATAGAACTTTAGACTGAAGTTGTTTGCTTCAAATTTCCCTAGTTCACCCTCCGGCAGTTTTCCCGAATTTGGCCCTGGGTTCCGGTCAAAGGCTTAATGTTTCCCATCCTGATCATAGACTTGGCGAAATCCTCCCAGAAAGCTTCAGGATTGTTACTGTAAGTCTTCACAAGCGCGTCGGTGGAGCCACCACTGAAGAGCGCCTGGTCCGATGCCAGCAGTCCCCTTTGCTTCACCAAGTTGCTGAAGTACGCCACATCAAAGCTCGCCGGTGAGGGGTCCAGGGGAGCAAGGGTCGAGTTCCCGCCTTTTCTTGGGCAGGTTGCTTTAAGCTTTTGTGCAAATGCAGAGTCTATGTTTCTTGCGCTGTAAATACGTTCTCTGAAGACGAAACATTGAGAGAAGCCTATAGTGTGGCCGCCAGAGAGAGCGACGAGGTCTCGCTTGTTTAGGCCCTGGCGTCTGAAGATGGTGGTGAGGTTTTTGAGGTCCATAAATGGATTTGGGAGGTCATCGATTGCTTTGGTTGCGTTTGCAGTGGTTGAGTCCCTCCTCCCCAATCGCACCTTCCATGAGGGACCTCCTAGCTACAAATTATTGCAAGTTTGCAACACATAATTCAGCAACCTAAGTAAATGTATACATTGTAATTTTGAGAAGAATATGTAAACATCCCAGAGGAAGTAATGTAAAGCACTAGCTATACTTACCGCAACAACAGAATCTCGAGCAGCAACAGCTAAAATATCAGCACAAGAAACTACAGAACAACCACATACTTTATCAACTTCGGCCTTGATTTGGTCAATCACTTCGAATCCTCTTGTAGAATTGTTATTAGGACCTTCAAACTTTTCGCTTTCAAAGGTGTTCGTATTATCCAAAAGAATTGAGGCATCACAACCCTGCAATCAATAGGAAAACCGAAATGTAACACATTAATTAACAACGACCAATGTTAAATGTTCTTAAGAAAAGAGTAGTGTTTTAGCTGTTAATTTTGTGTGGTTTGGGTACATACATTAACGAAGCAGTCGTGGAAGTGCAGACGCAGCAAGGAAGCGCCCATACGCCGCTCTTTGGCCACGGCTGCCTTCACTACTCGTTTGATGGCTGGCAAAGCTTGGGGACAAACATGGTCATAGAAATAAGGAGACAATGCTGAGGAGAAAGCTGTGGCTGCAATAGCTAATAGGACAAAGATTTGAAGCTGAAAACTAAGATGGGAAGGCGAAGCCATGTCTGAGTAACTTTTGTTTTGCTACTTTTTGAATTTTACGGTGTTTTTGTGTTTGATTAGTTGAAGGCCATAATATTGGAACTGGTATTTATGGTGAGGGAAGTTCTAGAAAAAGCCACTCTGCGTGGAAATTATCTTCTCCATTTCGAAGCAGCCAAACTGGACTGCGTCTTAAGTTTTAACCACTCTTTCTAGACATTTGTACGACGTTTAATGATTAGTCTATTCAATTACATTGCAAATGGAAAATGGGTGATATAGGTAAAAGAGACTACCATTACGTTTTTTATTCCAAAATATCTATTATTATTAATTTTTTTAAAATTAAAAATTTAAAAATAATTTATGTATTTATTTATATTATCTTAAAAAAATATAAGATAAAGAGAAATTTTTTGTGAAAAGATAATAATTAAAGTAAAAGGATAGTAATATAGTTAAATTAAAAAAATATTTATATACTTAAAAAAAATTAATTTAAATAAGTGTAAAATAAAAAACAACAATTATTTAGGATTGAGGGAGTATTTTCTTTGAGAAGAGGTGATATTATAGATGAACTTTTAGCTATCATACTAAATTTCGCTCTTTAATTTAGTTGAAGATAAACTCAGAGATGAAAATATTTCACAATGAATTATATATATTTTTTGAACTAGGAAACTTGGGGTGGGGCAGTGAATGTTTGGATTTGAACCTAGGATTTTAATGTACAAAACACCGTCCCTCTTAGAGGATAACCACTAGATCAATTAGTGATAGACCATAATGAATTACATATTAATAATCAATCTCCCCAAAGAAATTGAAATAATCAATAAAGTAAAAATCAAAACTCACTAAGAAACTTGGAAGAA